AGGCAGGGGCTTGAACCCGTGACATCCAGAACACCCACGACCCAATGATCAAGCATATACATCCCTGTAAAGCCAGACCCAATGCCCAGGTCCTTCCTCTCCACACAGGCATGAGATTGGGCCTAACAACACGAGAGAGATAACCTTGAATTCCCTCTAATTTACACAAAAGAAAAAAATAGGGGGAAATTATTCGAAAACTGCGACACTTTATTATTAGTAACGTATTTGTCTGTGATGCATCTCACAACTGCTGGTCCCACACCAGCGTGTCACAGCTTTGAGGCTGAGAACTGCTAGTCTAAGTGGTGTGATTTCAGAAGTAAAGGAGGGCCACTTCCTGCCCCCAAAATATCTCCTGTCTCCACCCTGCTGCTTTCCCCTGAAGTCTTGCCCCAGTCGATCTACTGCCCTGTGTTAAACCGCCCAGCATCCTCTTTTAAAGTGTGAGGACTCCTGAGGGGAGAGAATCCATTACGGCCACAGCACCCTTTAGTGAGACTTACAGAGGACCCGGAAACTCACGTGCCATGGCCTTGCACCCGAGTGCCACTCTCTCCATCCCTCAACAAGGTAAGCAGGATACTACCGTTATCCCCACTTTTCGTATGAGAAAGCTGAGTCGCGGGGCGGGTACACAACTATCGGGCTGTAGGCCATCATTTCAACCCTGTTTGCTCTCTTCCAAAGCTTGTATTTTGACACACCATGGATGGAGCAGGAGGTCCTAGACATCTGTGAGCCAGGACAAAGAAGCCTGCACCCAGGAGGGAAATGACACCTTTAGGATATAAAGAAGATTTTGTTTCAGGGCGGGGGAGGGGCTTCTTCATGCTTTATAATACATTCCCTATAGGGGCAGGCTTCTTGTACACCTACAGAGGCAAAGATGCCCTCCATGGTCACCAACATCTGTCTCATTCTTGGTTACCACCAAGGCCAGGGACAGAGATGTATCACAGCATCAAGTCACATCCTTAAAGAGATGTGCACAGGTGCTCCCGTCCCAGAAGGGCCAGTTTGTTCCGATACTCCTGGGTTTGAGAAGAATGCCCACTTGGAAACCTTATGAAGCATTTACTCCTTATCTAATGTCTCATGTGTGTGTTTCCACTACAGTAACCCGGTAGGATGGGCCTCCCGGGCTCCTTTTGCAAATGAGAAAGCCTGTGCACACTCAGTTAAATAAATTACCGGAGGCTAAAAGCTCCATGGTGGCAGGGATAGTGGCCAATATGATGGTTGCCTATTGCCAGCATCTTTCTGATACACAAAGACTTATCCAAGTGCTCATTACCTATATATGGGCTTCACAGTTCAAAGTCTCACGAACCTGTCAGACCCTGAAGAGCACATGCTTCCCACCATGTCCCCATCACCAAAAGGCCTCATTGCAATACAACGGCCCAGAGATGTAACAGGAGCACGAGGAAGCAAGCATGAACTTGGCAGAGGAGCAGGCGCCATCCAAGTAGGCCAAAGAGCTGGCAGCTAGATCCACTGCTAGGAGGCAAGCACTCTCCCTTCAAAACAGCATCCACACCACCCATGATTCCACCAGGGTGTATTTATTCCTTAGGGTCCCAAACGTAGAGAATCACGGTTGTGTAATTCACCAAACTTGCATCCAGGACCCAGTCGGTGCCTGGGTTGTGTCAGGCTGGGAGACGACAAACTAGATCAAACGCAGATGTGTCTTTGAGTTCCAGAAAACGAGAGGTAAAAGCCCATGAAACCATGGCAATCAATGGGCTGTGGAGGGAACCCACCCAGAGTGTGGAGCCAGCATATGTAAGGCCGTAGACATGGGCATCTACTCACATGTCCACATGTGCCAAAGCATTTGTATACCATCCTAGAATCAACAAGGAATGCTGTAGAAAGGACTGTAGCTGGAGAGTAACCAAAAGAAATGCATCTTCCTTGATGCCAGCTTTGGCAGAATCAGCCATGGGAGACGAGAAAGCAGAAGCTGGGGGTGGCATAGAGGTGGTCTCAGCAGCCCTGAGCTGGGCTCCTGTGGGGCTGCATTTGTCCCTGAGAGGAGACGTTCCTAAGAAGAACTGAGAACTCAGTGAGACTACTGGAGGGGAAGAGGGGAGGGAATGCAGAGGGAGCCTTCAGCTAGACCCCTGGCAGGACTGATGACATGATTGTAGGACTTGTGACAAGGGAAATTTTCCCTTCAGTGGGAAAAGGCAGTGTCCTCTTCCCATTGGCCCACCTTCATGCATTGCCAGGGTAAACCCAAGGATTGTGGTGGCCTCCATGCCGTGAGTTGGTTGGTATCTAGATTAGGGGTGGGTAAGAGGCACCAAATGCTGCCTGGCAGGGTCCTGGATGACCACTGTTTGTCCCACCATAAAACACACTGGAAGGTGTGTGTTCCTGATCTCCACTCCGTACCTGCCCCAGGACTCTACTGAGAAGGCATGGCCAGTCATAGGGTTGGTGGAACCACACTTCAGCCAGGGAGACTCCAAGTCCCCAGCGTGTGCTGCCCCATGAGAGCTCACTCACAACACAGTTTCAAAGATTGAGTCACTAGGAATGCAAAGACACGGACAACAGAGGGTTCTGTCTGTTTAAGGTCAAGGGCCTACACTGGTCACATTAATAGGAAGCCATCCTGGTGCCTGGTTTGGAGCTGTCAAATACAGTGACCAGGAAGACTGTCGGCTAGCTCAGCGCTTCTAGAAGATTCACTCCTCATCAGCTAGTTTCTAGCATGGCCAAGGACAGCTTATCATGGGGCCTGGGTTGGAGACAGTAAAGTATATATCCCAGAGAAGCAGTGGATGCAAAGGCACCCTGCTCAGTTTAACCAGTGTGTGTGTGTGTGTGTGTGTGTGTGTGTGTGTGTGTGTGTGTAGCACCCCACATCCATGAGTCTCGAGTGCTATGGGGTTTGAGGGAAGAGAAGCTCAATTTTGCTGCTACTTTCCTTCATCCTAGATCAACTTCTATTCCCTTGAGGTTTCCCTCGGGGGAAACAGGCAGGTCAGTTATGACATCAGGCCAAGGGATCCTCAAGCATGCCCTGAGGAGCCCTTCTGAGAGCGCCAGGCTCTGCGCTTGAGGGGTCTTTGGAAGCAGAGACCAGGTGTCCCTGGCGGGCAGGAGTCACCTGGTGAAAGCCACACTTGTGAGTTAATGAGACACTTGAAGGCACCTGGGTTGGAAGAAAGTTCATCTCAGTCCATGGGGCCAAAGGTAGAATTATAACCACGTAGTTCTTGGAAACATAGATTTTGTGTGTGTGTGTGTGTGTGTGTGTGTGTGTGTGTGTGTGTGTGTGTGTGTGTGTGTGGTCAGAGGATAACCTCTTGTGTTGGTCCTCACCTTCCTTGTTTTTTTTTTATTTTTAGTTAAAACTTGATTGTAAAGAACTTTCAAATAAAAAAACACACAGCAAAATAAGCCAGGCCCAAAGTCTACACATCTCAATGAACTCAGTACAGCTAGAATGGTCCATCTGGAGCTGGGGAGCTCCGCGGTGGACTTTACACCTTCATATCAACTATATTTTTATGCACTTATCTACCTCACACACAAACAGGGGGAAAAAGTCAATGACAGAATTAAAGCTAGAAAAACAATTAACTTTATTTCCTCTTTCGTGACTCGTGTGCTTTTACCTGTATCCACCTCTTCCTAACTTAATATTTGTCCTTTATTGCTCTCCATTCTGTGTGTTAGATAGTAACCACATGTACATTGTTTACACCCATACACATACGTATACACATATATAGTAGACTAGGGTCCCCCTATGAGGGAGAACATGAGGGTTTTTTTTTCCTTTCTGAGATTAGGTGACCTTGCTTAATATTATACAAAATCTAAATCCATCTTCTTGCCAATTTTGTGATTTCATTTTTCGTTAGAGCTGAGTAGCATTCCATGCCATGTCAGTATCAGATTTCGTTATAGCTTCACCTGCTCAGATGACTGGGTTGGTTCCCTTTCCTTGCTATAGTGAATAAGCAACAGCAAAGCACCATGGGGATCAAATACCTCTCCGGTGGAATGTGGGGTTCTCTGGGTGCATGCCCAGGAATGAAGTGGCTGATTTTTAAATTTGGGGGAGGGGGTCTCCAAACTGATTTTCATAATGACTGTATTAATTTGCGACCCCACCAAAACTATCTTGTTTTGAAGCATGGTCCCTCGTGTTTGCTGGTGTGCCAGGTACTACATCTAGCTGGCCAATGAACTTCCAGGAGACCCTCCTGTCTCTGCCTGCCATTTGTCACAGGAGTGCTGCTGGATTTACAGATACATGCCGCTGCTTCCAGGTCTCACAAGGTTCGGGGACCAAAACCCTTACTATCAAGCTTGCACACCAAGCGCTCTTCTTCACTGGGCCTGCTCACCGGACCCTACCCGTCTTCGTACTCACCATTTTGAGACCAGGTTTTGCTAAATTTGCCAAGACCAGGCTTGAACTCGTCTGAAGCCCAGACGGGCCCCGAACTTTCTATTTCCCTTCGTCAGCCTCCTAAGTAGCTTTACAGGCCTGCATCGCCAGACACATCTAGTTCTTCAGGGTCACTGAGAACGTGAGTTTTCTGACAATAATGATAGTGAAGCTGGGGTGGCCCAGCAGGCTGGAAGTAACATGTATGATCTCCTTCCTCCTCACAAAACCCTGCAAGGCAGGCACTCCAATTACCAGTGTACGGGAAAGGAAGAAGCCAAAAGAGAACATTGTCACTTTCCCAAGGGCTACTAAATGGCAGGTGACTGTGCAAGATTTGAAAGGAGTGCCAGCTACAGCTGTCACTGCCCTTGAACACCTTCCAGGCAGTAGAGCTATGCAGCATTGAGCTGAGCACCATGGAAGACCCGGAGCCAAGAACAAGTACATTGGTTCATAGGTGGGGATACTGTAGAGATGGCCCGTCAGCAACAAGAGAGGCAGACTCAATGACCTCCAGCTCTCAGAGAGATTCCTTTGCCCTTGGCCACACTTGTTAAAAATAGTTGTTTGGACCTACTCTGTCTGAAGTGGATCGGTCAGGAGTTGGGAGTCCAGCTGGAACTGCAGGTAGCGGCTGCAGGATAGTGGATGGTGTGCCCTGTGCCTTTCCATCCAGGTCCTCCAGCTGTGAAACAAAGAGCAAAGGTAATTCTAATCCTTTCAGCTAGACCAAAGGTTCAGTGTGCAGAAAAGGAGGGAAAAAAAAGATGACCATAGAAGAAATACACTCTGGAAACACACTGTGGAAGTTTTGTTTGTTTGTTGGTGGTGTTTGAGGCCTGATCTCGGGTAGCCCAGGCTGGTTTCATGCTTCCCATATCACCAAGTATAACCTTGAGTTCCTGCTCTTCCTGCCTCCACCTCCCACGTTCTGGGATTACAGGCATGCAGGGGTCCGGCTACCCAATGGTCACGTTAACTCTACCTCCCCGAAGATATGCGGTCTCTTTTAGCTGTAGTGCCTCTAGCCACTGGAGGCCTGGCCAAGAAGGGACAACATCAGGTCATCCATCTCAGTAGAACCTGGCCTCTTCCTCCCTCCTGGACTTCAGATCTGGGACTCCAGCCCAGCTCAGCGTCTACCTTTGCTTCTCCGTAACTACAGCAAGGGTGAGAGTCAGACAGACCCGGAAAAGGCTGCCGGAGCAGGATGCTGGCGGCATCTGTGGGCAGGCGGTTCTGAAGGAATGCCCCTCCCCGTGGCTTTCCACCCCTGCATCGCTTTACAGATATATATTTATAGACATATAAATATCTTTTTCCCTGAGGGACAATGAAACTCAGCCAAGTGGGAATTCAGCATGATCTGGTAAGATCTGTTGCAAAGGAATTTTACTGGGGTGGGGAGAGAAATTGTGTATTCAGGACACCACCTGGTTAATAAACCAAACACACAGCTCCCAGAACACACGGGCTTTCCTTTCTTTCTTTCTTTCTTTTCTTTAAGTTAACCAAGGGTTTATTGTTTAGCCCCTTTTGCCAATTTTAAATTGTGGAGATTTTCCCCCCTTTGAGACAATACGCAAACTAACAGTAGGCATTAAATAATTTGTTGAGGGGGGTGGGTAGAGAGGAGTTGGGGCTTCGAATGGGGGGTAGGGGACTAAAATCTGCCAGTAGCAGCAATAAATACAGAGTTGAGCCTCAGGCATAATATATCAAAGAAAATATAATGCATCCAGCTTAAAACTAATGATTGCCATATAATTAGATGAGAAGCATTGTGCTATAAATGTGTATTCTTTAGCGTGCTGTGATTTTACTGTAAAAAAAAAAGGAGAAAGAGAGAGAGAGAGGGAGAGAGGGAGAGAGAGAGAGAGAGGGAGACAGAAAAACACAGAGCCCAGCAACATACTATAAAAAGACCCCTCTGTTGACTTCGCTACTGTTTAGTATTCCTTGGCTGTTCTCCCTTGGGAGTGTGTAATTAGTGCTTTATGAAGAGTACATTTAAAGCAATTTAATATTCACCTCATTCAATCTGAAACAATGTGATCCATGCTTAGACAAATCAGTGCTCCTTGCTGACATAATCTGTCAGAACATTACCTCTGAAAAGACCTTTCAAGAGGTTCTGCTGTTAATTAGTTGTCTATCATGTATAAACAGAGCAGCGAGCAGAAGGGCCTCGACAGGCCAGAGGGATACGTTGGGAAATGCATTTTGTATGAACGCGGGTTGCAGGGGGTGTCTTCTCACTCACCAGCCTCCCTCCTCCCCCATAGCCTCGTCTTGCCACGTCTGCAACCACACACGCCTTGGGCCTCTTCCAGGCAAGCAAAGTGCTCTCCAGTTGACTTCGGGGGGCACTGCCAGTCACCACAGTGAAGTGTTCACACACGCACACACACACACACACACACACACACACACACACACACACACACACACACCCCACAGCTCCCTGGACAGACCCACCTGCAAGATACAACAGCTGCTTTTACAACCCAGGGTGCATGACCTCACAGGCCCGCTGGAGCATGCTGGGAGGCTCTATAAGCTTTGAGTGGGACAGGCCCCGCCCACCATGGGCAAGGGCCAGGCAGAAAATAAAGGTCTCATAGGCATCTTCCCGCTCTACCCTAAACGAGCGAGCGAGCGCAACCAACACACACGGGCATTTACACCCAGGAACCTCCTTGGCTGCCACGGACACAAACAATGACAGCAACGTTCAGAGGCCCGTTTAAGGTCGCATAGTTCAGGACTTACCTTCAGGGGGCGCCTTTGCCCAAGCCCATCCTACGGGGATGCGTGCTGGCTCTTCGTGTGTATGTCGTCTAAGGATTTAAATAGCTCTTCTTTATTCTGGACTTGGGAGCACCTGTGTGCAAAGCATCCTCGGCCTTGTAGTGAGTCAAGACACGATTCTGCCGCCTTCACTAGAATGGCAATTGCAAGGTGGTGTGACACGGGCTTCCCCAAGCACCTCCCACCCCTGCAGGGCTCCAGAAGCCCCCTCCCCTCAATGCTGTCCCCATACGTCTGTCTCCCGTGCCTGTTTAAGATGCATCGCCTTCCTCAGTGGCCTCAACCCTTCACTCCATAAACATCCATTAGGCACCTACTGTGTGCATTATACTATGTACTACATTCCAGGACAGCTGAAATGAGTAAGTCACAGTCTCCGCTCATAAGATGCTTACAGACCCATAAACTTCTAATTACAGTTTGGGACAATTACAAGTAATGAAGAGAGGCAATATAATTTTGTAACTAGGAGGGAGGGCGCTGGAATTGCGAACTGCTTGGACTCAGATTTTAGACTACTTACCAGTTAAGTGACTCTGAACAAGTTATTTGGTTGCCCTAAGCCTCTGTAATAGGAGTCAGAAAGACACCTCATAGGTTTATAAGGATTAACTGAGATGATGCAATAACGTGCCTAGGCCAGGGAAAGCCCAAGTGTAAGGAGGTAGAAATGAACAGGGTTTCTGGACACTGCTGAGTGACATCCTAGGAGGTAGGTCCCAGCTGAACCCTTCCAAAGAAGCCCTGAGGTGGCACAGGCTGAGTAATGATGGGGTACCCTGACAATTAGGAGAGCCAGCCATTTCTCCCTGTATTTTGAGAGAATCGGGAGGGAGAGGGATGGGCCGAGAAGGAGGGAGAAAAAGAGGTAGAAGGGAGAGAGGGAGAGAGAACACAATTTAAAATCTCACATTTCCAGAGCCTCGAGCCTTCTCCTGACCTCAGGCCACACAGGAGAGAGAAAGCCCCCCCTCTTCTGGACTGCGTGCTTCCACAGTCCCCGACGGAGAGCCCTGACCCATTGGCACAGCAAAGGCGCTCTGGGGGGGAGGGATGCCTGAGTACACCCAGTTCTCACTCAGCACCTGGTGCCCAAAGGGTGCTCAGTACATGCTCCACTTTGACACTAATGAAAAGCCTGGAGTTGGGTCAGCATTATTGTGTCTGAAAGAGGTTAAACGAAAGTTCACGGTCACACAGCTACGCAAGGCTGGATGTCAAGCATCTCCTCTTTCCAGTACCCACCTACCTTTAGTTATCAGCCAGCTTTTGCGGGACCTATGAGTTAAGAATGGCTTTTGTGTTTTTCAAAGATAGTGAGCAAAGAAAAAACACGGAGAGAACATGTGACTGAGACCTTGTGTGGCTCTCGACCGCCCCAAGGCTCAGACATCCAACACCTGGGCCTTTCTGGAAGTTTGGCATGAGGCTGCCCAGGGATGGCTCACACAGTGAGGACCAGGCATTGAGTACCACATACACCAGGTGTGAAGGGCACTAAGGGAAATCCAGATGTGGGTCTAGGACATCAACCTGAGCAGTAACCTACTCACTTCAAAACCATTTTCACTCACACACACATACACACACACACACACACACACACACACACACACACACACACACAGAAAGAGGGGGGGTATCTGGGAGAGAAGAATGGGGATGGGGACAGCAGCTGTGGCCCTCTGATAGGCTTTGTGGTTGAGGATGAAACCGTTCACACACAGTCTTCTTTGTGAGTTAGTATTCCCACTCGGTGCCAAAATCGGGGATAGAATAAGTAACTGAGGGATCACCCTACCAGGGTTCTATGACCCCAAGACTGGTTTCTGTCTGTCACACCAGACTGCTCTGATCCCCATGGCCTCCAGCAAGGGAAACTGGAAAGCAGGCACAGGCGGGTGGGAGGGAGGGTCCCAGGCCACCCCTGCTTTCTAGAAGGCTTGAATTTCTGTGCAGCTCAGATTTCCCTTTTCAACACCAGCCCAACTCCCTTGGAGTTGTTTCAGCCTCTGAATCATCCCCTACCCCACCCCCACCCCAAAAGGAGCAACCCCCTCCCCCAGTTTTCAAGATCTTGGGAGTGATTTCGGCTCCTATCCATCAAGCTAAGTGACTGCCCTAGTGGACAGGAAAGGCCAGTTTCAGTCCTGACTAGCTGTGTGACTGAAGGCCGGTCTCCATGCCTCTCTGTGCCTGCCTTTTCTCCCTGGGAATCAGGAGTCAGAATCTCCTCCACTCCCAGGTCTTAAGGGATCTGGGAGAGTGAATGAGGTCATGTCTGTGAGCTGCCTGACGGAAGGAAGTAGCTGGACAAACACACAGGCTGTATTATCTTCTGGAGTTGGCAGGGCAGTTGCTATGAAGTTGCTGGGATGCGGAATGTCTCAAAGGTCTCAGAAGCAGCCCTGGGAATGCCACAGGGAAGTGGTGTGTCACACGGGATCCAGCTTCCCAGGCTCTGAGATGTAAGTTCAAATCCCAGCTCAGCCGCTTAACAGCTTTGGGAAACCACACGATCTCTTTCAGCCTCAGCTCCCTCACCATAAAATGAGAATAATCCAAGCCCCCAGCTGGTTCTTTGGTAAAGGAGTAAATAAAATGAACCTCGGCGTATAGTGGGCGTACTTACTGTGGCAAGTACCCTGGGACTGTCACAGAAAATACCTGCCTTTGTCTCTCTGTGAGCTGTCTCCACATACATGCCAAGATGTGTCTCCTTGAGGACAGCCTTCTGCAGTAGAAAGTGGCTGAGTGCTCCACACACCTGCTTTGGAACAAGAAAACAAAGAACTCTGGGAGTGAGCATAAGTCCCCAGGAGCATCATCTTGGAAGCCTGTAACCCACACCGGAGTCCAAGGTCAGAAGACTGAGAGGGTGGCGCTTCCATCCTGAGTCACAGTGAGACTGGCCACTGAGTTCTGAGCCCAACACTCTTAACCTTTGCAAGCCAGAGCTCCCAGCCTGGCTGCCTGCTTCCCCTGGTTACTGTCACGCGGGAACAGATGACAGTCCTCAGTGAGCTCCCAGGCAAGTGGGTCTCCAGACAGACAGGTGAACTCCCTTCCTCTGACCTCCTTTATCAAGGCAGGAAGACACACAACAGTGAGAGTGGGGGCTGGATGCGGAGAGCAAAAAGGCTTGCCTCCCTAACTACCCAGGTCTAGGTAGCTTCTGGACAGAGCTTACATCTGGAGAGCCAAGAACAGTGAAGAGGAAATCTATCCAGCAGAGGGTGTGAGGACCCGTCACAGACTGGCTGAGCCCTCCAAAGCTAACAGCAAGGCTGCCGAGCCAATCTGGCAGAGAAGGTCTGAATTAGTCACCAGTTTTGATGAGGAGGCAAACCGGTTACATAACAGCCTCCTTCTCTCTCTTCAAATAGCTCTCTAGAGCTGGGGCTCGCCTCTCTCCCTCTGGCCACAAAGGGGCTCAGGGCCAAGGAGGGTCACATACCAGAGCCTAGGGGCTAAGGTTCAGGCAGGAACCCTCCCCAGGCCTGCTCCAGCCCTGCAGGGCCAGAAGGAGGCGCCCGCAGTTCACCTCCTGCCTGCAGCTTGCCACCCTGCCTCCAGAACAATCCCACGCTTGTCTTGCAACCTGGGGCTTTCAAACTCTAGGCGTTAGCCTGGAAGAGACCCCGGACAAGGAGGTAGAGATTTCTCAGTTGCCAGAAGCTCCTAGCCCCCTGGGTTACTCCAGGCCCCCTTCCCTTGACAAATGTATCATAATTCAAGATTACAAAAATTAGTCAATGCTGAGTCAGCACTGTTTGCTGTGCCCTGGTGGAGGGACTGAAGTGCAGGGAGCATTGGAAGGCACAACTGTGAAGCAACATCGGGAGCATGGAATTCTGGTGCGTATCTTTCCCAGAAGAGCATTCTGACAAGCACAAAAGCTCAAAGCCTTTGGCTCCGTGTTCTGCCATGAGTGAGATGTGGCCTCTAGGTAGAGGTCAAGTTCACCAGTTTCTAAGAGATGCCTAGGATGGGGCCAGTGTCTGTGGCCGGATCTTCCTGCCACCATGGATTTACTCATCCACCGTATAGGGCTGAATAAAGAACAATAAATGTTTAGCAATATTAATAATGGGCGGTGATAATGGTGATGAGTAGGGTGATATTAGAATGGGTATGCGTATCCTGTTTAGCCCCCAAGCCCTGGGGGCTTCAGCTCTTCCTGGCTGCCTATCGGTGCGTCTGTTGTACCTACCGGACAACTGAAAACCAGAAGCAAGAGTCTGAGAACCTGTAGGAATCATGCTGACCTCCTGACCCCATGCAGGACTAGGCTCCATCTGCCCAGAAAAAGGAGTCACCACTGCCCAAGTGAGTGAGGCCAGCACTCAGCAGGTGAAGTCAGCGCCTCTTGAGCCCTCCCCTTTCCCTAAACCTGAGTGAAGGCCAAGTGCCCAGCCCAAACACACAGGACACAGTAACAACCTTCAGAGGCCACATTCCCACCTGCCACCGTACCAGATTCCAAGATGGAAGAGCTTAGAGGGGTCCCCAGGGCCCACTGGTGCAGCCCCCCCATTATACCAATGAGAAGGCTGAGACTCAAAGAAAAGTGGGTGACTCGGGAGTGCCCAGCAGAGCTGGGGTGCGAGCTCCTGTCTCCTTTCGTTGGCACAGTGGAAAACAGAGAAGGTAGCAGAAGAGTGGACATGGGCATCTATCAGCTGCCAAGGTTGCTGATGTCTACGTGGCGCCCTACCTCCACATGTTCCACGTCTCCAGCGCCATACCAGGGAGGTGACAGCTTTTCATGGAAGAATGGACAACCACTCCATGGAGGCCACACAGCCAGCCATGATGACAAGCCAGTATCTACAGTTTCTAGAACAAAGAGCCTTTCCTCTTTGCCCTGCTCCCCAGAACATAGCAAAAAGGCTAACCTACCCCCTAAGCCTGAGGGTAAATTCCCCAGGAGAAGTCTGATCCTGCTTGTATCTCCCAAAGATCTCTGCCAGGTGTCTACTTGGGATAAGCTTCCTGGCGGTATTTGAAGCTAATTAGAGGAAATTTCATGCTATTTAGGCCACAAAACCATTTATTCATTCAACGAACTTCTGCCTTGCCCCTTGTATCTCCCTCTCCACATTTCCACATTGCTCAGCGACGTGCTTGGTTTCCATCTGAATACACACATACACACACACACACACACACACACACACACACACACACACACACACACACACTTCCCAGTTTCCAGCCCCAGACTCTATCTTGGCCCTTTTCTTTCCCATCATACTCCCCATCTGGGACCTAAGCCCAGCCCACACTCAGCAGAGAAGTTGTGGGAGGGGCCCTGCCGAACTTACTCCCAGACAGATGTGCTCTGTTCCCTGCACAGCTGTCCAGGCCTGTCCATCTGTGCTCACTTCCTGCCTCCCTGTTCCAGCCCCTCACACTTCCCACGCCAGGGTGGGGAAGTCTAGTCCAGAGATTTTCTTCTTCTCAGTCCAAAAGCCCAGCATAGCCCAGCACCTTGGTTTCTGCCCTCCCTGGACCTCCAGGAGGAGTGGTGACCTAGAAAATGCTCCAGCAAGTCTGCATCGTCCCTGGTCTTAGACTTCCAACTTCAGTGTCTTGCCAGCTGCTCAGGACCCACCTGACTCTAACACAAAACGTGAAACACACCGACACTGATACCAATGTCATTTCACTATTTTCTCAAGCCTTAGAAGTCCACTCTGACAGATGCCCCTAAAACAGTGGTTGTCAACTTTCCTAATGCTTAGACCCTTTTATATAGTCCTTCATCTTGTGGGGAACCCCAACCACAAGATTATTTCCGTTGCTACTTCATAACTGTAATTCGCTACTCTTATGAACCATAATGTAAATATCTGATATGCAGGATATCTGATATGCAGGATATCTGATATGCAACCGCTGTGAAAGGGGTGTCCAAAAAGGGGGGTCGCGACCCATAGGTTGAGAAACATTGCTCTGCAGGGACATAAGCATTACTTCCTAAAACAGCCTGGGGAGATGGCCCCATTGGTTATTGTGTTTATTGTGCAAGCATCAAGGCCTGTCTTCAAGTCCCCTACACTCATGTCAAATCTGGATGTCATGGAATGTAGTCACAACGCAGGGGAGGCAGAGACAGGCAGACCCCCAAGGCTCTCTGGCCAGCCAGCCTAGTCTAATCAGCAAGCCCCGGGTCCTAGTGAGAGACCCTGCCTCAGAGCATAAAACGGAAGCTGGGGAGATGGCTTGGCTGGTAAAGTGCACCGTACCGGTGTGGGGACTGGAGTTTGGATCCCCCGAATCCACATAAAAGCCAGACGGGCGCGGTGGCTGCTTACAGTCACAGCCCTTGAGAGGCAGAGACAGGCGATCCTTGCAGCAAGCTGACTAGCTATGCTCACCACACCTGGTGATCTCTGGGTTCAAGGAGAGAGCCTGCCTCAATAAATAAAAGTGGAAAGCGATGAAGAAAGACTACAGACGTCAACTTCCACACATGCAGGTGCGCACACCTGCACATACGTCTACACACACACACACACACACACACACACACACACACACACACACACACACACGTGAACACACAGAGACACAAACCACAGACACATTCATGCTCTAAAAGACACTAAAAGGAATGACACCCAGATTGTCCTCTGGCCTCCACACACATGCACATTAATGAATACACATATGTATGATGGGTGCAAAAAAAAAAAAAAGAAAGAAAGAAAGAAAAGATGTGTCACTCTCATGACTGATCCCTGTAGAAATCCATGTGCACCTTCTAGTCTTGCTGATGTGAGGTGGGGTCTGCTTTGCTAAAAGGAGGTTGCATCTCTGGAACCCAGCTTGTTTCTAAGGTTCCCAAAGCTCCCTCCTGGCTCCTGAGCATGGGGTGTCTGTCATTCATAATCTGGACTTTAGAATGCTTTAGGAGGCTCTGTGGCATCCA